AAGATAGCATTCTTAATTCAACAACTTTAAAACATGTTAAAACTTTCGATACACATTATCAGAGTTATTAAAAATGTAACATAACCAAAATACGCAAGTCATAATCCCATATTACATATTTAAATGTCATAATGATAATATAACAAAAAAATCTTTGAGAATGTGAATATCATCTGCATTCATGTTGGTTCTTGCAGCTGTCTACCGCGGAGAGTTATGAAAAAGATCAATAAACAATGTGTAAGCATAAAGTTTAGTTGTGTAAGCATAAAGTTTAGTGAGCATACACACAAGAGCGAATCTTGTATAGAATCTTGTATAGGGCCAGGAGGGGTTATGCCCCCCCCCCCTGGTTTTTGGCTTAGAAATAACCTATATCACTTCAAATTTTTTTTAATTATAGACCTGCAAGTGTCCAAATTGGGCTGTGGCCCCTCCTGATTCCAATAGTTTGATTTTCGAACAGTGATAAAAAGTCAAAATCGATCGTTACCCAACCCCCATCGACCATCGTCGCTAGTCGCTACCTCCGTACCTCGCTCAGACCTCAGTAGCTACCTTCATTTGCCACCACAGGAACTGTCCGCAGTCACCGGTCATCAGAAATCAGGTATGAAACGCTCCTGTTCTTTCTTCTCCTGTTCTTCAGTTCTCTCGGATTCATCTCAAAGGCTCAAACATTTGATTTCTAATTCTATTAATTGATTGAATTGGTCTCGAGTGGCTGAGTTAGGAATTAAGAATGCTCTTGTTAGTCGTGTAGTCTTGTTCTTTTCTTGTTGTGAATTATGATTTCACTGATTTAGGTCTTGGGAACCAACTAATTTCAATTTCGGTTCACTTTTCACAATCTATTAAATGCAATGTTGATTGTTAGTTTGTTACAAATTTTAGATGACATTAACTTGGCAATGAAAATCTATTTTAGTTTTCAGTTTTTACTTTTCACATATTGCTAAATGAGTTATTGCAAATTTTTGTTAACGTTTGTCTAGAATAAACAGATTTTTGTTAATTTTTATTGAATCAATTGTTCCCCCATTTTGATTTTTATTGATACAATCATGGGAATTTTTGGTGTTTATTTGGTGAAAAAAAAATGGTTTTTTAGTGTAGGAATTTTTATTTTATTTTATACTACTTTCGGCCCCCCAAACTAATTGTTCAAGGCTCCGCCCTGCAATTAATATCTTTCTTACACCTGACATTGCACCAAAGAAAAGACTTTGTAACTACATTATCAAAGATAAGGGAAGCCTTCGGTTTTGTAGCTCCAAATCATGTAATCCCATATCATCCTCTAAACCACATAAAAAACACCTTCCAAGACCCATTTAGCAAAAGCCGGAAAACGCAAGGCCTTGAACCAAACCAACCAATCTACATAAGAAGGCAAGCTTGGAGTCGGAAAACCCCAACAACGACAAACTTGAAGTATAATGTTAGCCGAAAGAGAACAATCATAAAAAAAATGAGAGGAAGACTCCATAACGTCTTCACAAATTAGGCATAATAAACTAGGCAAATCAATATCCCTTCTATCGAGAACGACCCTAGTCGAAAGTCTATCAAGAGCTAACCACCAAGCAAAAATATTAATTTTAATAGGGACTTCCTTACTACACCTAATAGGAGGACTCGCAGCCGATAACATCTTCTCGTCAATAAAAGAGCGAGCTGAAGCTACAGAAAAATCCCCCATCCCCGAAAGAGATCACCACCACCTATCTGGAGTCGGAAAAAAAAAAGAAAAAAGAAAAACATAATCAATTAGCGAATTAAGCCCCTCCGATTGAACACTCTCAGCTCCTCTAGGATGTCTACAAAGGGAATTCAAAATAGATTCATGACTCAACTTTTCCTTTACCGTTATACCTTTAGAATTCTCCAAATTGTAAATTCTAGGAAACTGATATTCAAGCACCAAACCGCCTAACCACACATCATCCCAAAAAGAAGTAGAAGCACCATCCCCAATCTTTTTAGTGAACAACTGTAACATATGCACATCAACACTAGGTTAGATTCATAACTTTGACTATATCCACCCAATTTGAACTTCTACTAGGAAAAGACGAAAAGTAGTCACGCCAACATAACCAACAAGGGATAACTTTTTCTCATCCACCTAACAAGGGATAACTTTTTCTCATCCACCTAGTGTTGAATTTTTCCAACTAACAAGGGATAACTTTTTCTCATCCACCTCCGCCCCCACGAAAAATTTGTTTCGTAAGGCTTCAAGTTTAGCTAAAATTCCTTTTGGAGCTTTGTAAATCGACATATAGAAAGTAGGAATAGCACCGAGGACCGATTTAATTAAAGTGAGCCTTTCGCCTATCGATAACGTCTTAACTTTCCAATTAGAAAGTTTAGAAGTAACCATCTGCACCACCTCTTTCCCAGGAATCCAGGCGGTTCATATTACCGCCTATCGCATCCAATCCGAGTAGCAACCGCCTCAATACTCGAATTATTAACACTAATGCCAAAAAGTTTGCTTTTATGAAGATTAATTTTCAAACCAAAAGCCAAATGAAAACAATGAAACACTATAACAAGATTTTGAATATGAAAATCTTTCCACTCCCCTATAAGCACTGCATCATCTGCATAAAACAAATGAAAGATAGTAATAATGGAGTTCATACCAAGTTTAATATCAGAAAAGAGATTGCGGTCAAGAATGCCTTGGAAAGCAACATGAAGACTCTCCATCACCAAGAATTGTCAAGCCACACCCCATTAACCATCACACCCCGAATTGCCAACAACTTGCTTTTTTTTATTTAACATACCATGAAAAAATTTGGAATTCTCGTCTCCTTCAATAGCCTACTTGATCTTAGCCTTCTGAGCAAGATCAACCCTTTCAATACGATTAAAGTCTTCAATCTTCTTATGCAACGTAACCCGTTCAGCCAACAATGAAGGGTCCCATTCTCCTCTATCAATTTTTCAATCTAGATCAAGCAAAGAGAGTAAACATTGATTTTGAACTCCTTCCTTGTTATTTCTAAAATCAAAACTCCACACCTTTATCATTTTCTTCAAATGTTGCAACTTCTTTTTAAAAAGCATCAAAGCATTTGGATGAAAAATCCCATTAGTATTCCAAGAATCTTCCACCATTTGAACAAAGCCATCCATGGAAAACCAAGAGTGAAACACCCTAAATGGAGGACTATATTTAATAGAAATCTCTTTAAGAAGAATAGGACGATGGTCAGAGAGATGTCTTGCCAAAACAAAACCTGTCAAATTTGAAAATATCTCCAAAGTACCTTCGGACACGAGAAAACTATCCGGTTTACTCATTTTTGTAGGAGCTTTGTCAGACCAAGTAAAAGAATATCCTCCAAGGAGAATATCAACAAGCTTTGTCAGCTTTGTCAGCTTTGTAGCAGTTTTATCTCACCCTCCCGATTACTCATAATGTGAAGCAACCAATTCCAAATCAACTTTTTAATATTGACATCTTGAGGAGCATAAATGGAGACAAAAAGCAGGCGAGTTTTAGATGGGAGCCAAGAACCCTCCACTATCACCAAATGATCATCCGAATACACTTGCATTTATGAAAAAAAAAAAAAAATCTTATCCCAAATACAAAGAATTCCACCCGAAAGACCTTTAGAAGAGGAGTAAGCATAATCAAATTGAAGATTACCCCAACCTTACAACATCAATATATATATACGCCTCATTTTAAATTCCTATAAAGTTAGAAAAGAAATTTGATGTTTACTACAAAAGGTTTTCACCCAAGCAATCTTCCCCTCCTTCCCCAATCCTTGAACATTCAGAAAGAGTAAATTCATGAGAAATCTTCAACTCCTCCATGATTATTAATAAGATCCTGAATATTTTGAGTACATCCTTCCATTGCTTAACCCATGGCTTGCCCAAAATCAATAAAAGCAGTCAATTCATCAATAAGGGAAATACATCGTCTCTTCCTCAATATTTTAATGGAATCGCCTAATGATGAGTGAGAGTCACCATAACCTTCGTTTACATCCTTAGAATTCTTATTTTCAACACCCTTTTTAACCCCCTATAACGAATGGAACTGAAGTTTTAGAATTAATCGAATTCTCACCTAAAGACCTCCGGTAAAGTTTGTTGCTTGGCGCCCACTCTCCAAGTTAACTTATGGAGATGAGTTTCGCTGAATAAGAGCATTTATTTATTTCAGCTAAATACTAGTTTTGGATCGAACCGGACCGGAACCGAAAGAATCGAAAATCGATTAGGGAACCGAGAACCGGATCGAATACCATTAACCGGTTATGGTTCAGTTCTACTATGAAGTTGCTCTCTAAGAAGGTCTTCGGTACCCGAACCCGGACCGGAATCAAAAGAACCGAAAACCGAAAATGATGAATTAGGGGAATCGGGAAACGAACCAAATACCACTGATAGGTTTAAACCGATTGCGGTTGCAATTCAGTTTTTCGGTTAAAAAGTTCATCCCTAGTTCTTAACATCTATATAAAGTAATGTAATAAGAACATCTTAATGGATAAAGAGCTTAATCAAAAAAATCACATTTATCTCTTCTTTACTTAAAGTTCATTAAAAGGAGTTTATGGGTTTGGTTTTCAATCCAAACCCATTAAATGCTTAATACTCGTGTAATTGCATGAAATATACAACGCCATTCAAGATGGGAGGATACAAAGCATATATGTCAAATTGTGAATAAAATCGAGAATGGCCATACAAAAATTATGAATTATGAATTGTGTAGAATTACAGAGTTTTGGCAACTAATTAGAAAGTAACCGGAATTTCATAAGCCAAGTGTAACAGATATTACTTAAGGTATAAAAAAAATCCTATTGAAACATGACATTTTTATGCAAGTTTATCTGTGAGGTTCCCTTTATAAATAAAGTTCATTTGTGCAAAGCAAGTTTGAGAAACCGAGATTGTTTTATTTATAATAATTTACATTTTTATTTTTATAGTTACGTGGAAAGAGTGTTGGATTTGAGATGTCAACAACTACCGGACCATGCACAAAAGGCCATGGCCATTGGGTGTGGAATAATCCAATGACAAAAACCGATGAGAATAGATTTCGATGCACTATTTTGCTTATGGACAATGAAGGCGTTACTTTTGGTGACCATACGGTTAGGTTTCTTGTTATAAACCATTATTTCTACTTAAATACTTTTTGTTGAAATGTTTGATAAATTTATTTAAACTTTTTGTTTCACATCTTTTATGTTTCATTTTATAGAGACTACACGATATACATATGTTCTCTTTAGTTGTATTGTTATTCGGTGTGCTAATATATAACCAAGTCAGGTTTGACTTATTTTTTTTTACTTCATCTTGTACTGTTTACGTATTCTTCTATTAGATGGGAGGATGCATTGAGAATATGGGTATTGCTAGCCTCTCTTTTGCAACCACAATTACAAAAGATCTTTATAACAACTTTGGAGGAGAAACCACAATGTCAAAGCTTGGAGAATTCTCCTAATTTCTGTGTATCTGGCATTTAAGGGTACAATCATGATGCTTTTTTTACTGGCAGCTCCTCTTATGGTGTTTTAACCTTTATCACCATGATTTTTATTGTGGGATTTCTATCCAAGTATATGTCACCCATATGCTCACGATTATCTTGAAAATGAACAGAAGACTTTGGATTGTGCTAAGAATTATTTAGCCAAAAATGAGGTTCTTCACTTTGGCTCATTCTCAACTAACTACTACTACTACCGATTGTTGGTTTTAGATTTGTATATAACGTTGTCATTCTTTTATCTACTTACCTGTGATAGATTCGAAAAGCTATCACCGATATCCTTCCTAAAATGATGTATGCCACTCTTGTGCAGCGTGTTACCCCCAAGAATGACCTTCGTCGGCTTCACGAAATAGGAGTAAGTAATTACTTTTATGTAAACAAAACAAAATTGTAGGTATATTTATCATTGAAGATTTTCAACTTCAAGTAACTATAAACCATGTAGATGGATAAACAAAGAGCATGTCTCAAAACGGGACGAAAGAATCTCACGAACTTTATTTTTGAGAAAACCACACCTAAGAACGTTGGAGAGACTGTTACAATCGGGCCTATTTTGGTTGGCATCACAAAAAATAAATTTAGATGTTTTTGATACCAATGTAATATTTTTCTTTTTTAGTTGGACCCGTGGACAAGTGTTTCGATAATCTACTCTCTAAGCACTTGTTCACTAGTTCAAATTTAAAAAAAAAAGATAACACGCCGGTATTAAAAGCATCTAAAAGGGATTTTTGTGATGTCAACTAAAATAGGTCGTTGGAACCGTCCCTCCAACGTTCTTAGGCCTGGTTTTCTCATAAAGAAATGTCATGAGATTCTCCCGTCCCGTTCACTTTAGTTTATCCATCTACAATGTTTATAGTTACTTCAAGTTGAACACAATCTTCAATGATATATAATAAATATATCAACAATTTTTTTATCATAAAAGAAATTACTAACTCTTCTCGTGAAGCTGCCCTCTCAAAGGCCACATAAAAGTGGCATAGGTCCTCTTTAAGAAATAGATCAGTCATAATTTTTCAAATCTATCATAAATACTGGTAGATAGATAAGAAAATTGACAACAATATTTACAATCCAGAACCAACAAATGGTAGTAGTAGTAATAGTTAGTTGAGATGGAGCCAAAAAGAACCTCATTTTTGGCTCAACAATTCTAAAAACAATCCAACGGCTTGAGGTCATTTCAAGGTAATCGTGAGCATTTGGGTGCGCTATGCCCAAATAAAAATCATGCAATAAAAAACATAGTGATAATGTTAAAACACCATAGGAGTGATAGCTAACAGATCAGTAAAAAAAACTGCATGAAAATGTAACCCATAAAACTGACACAAAAAATAGGGTGAATTCTCCAAGCTATGAAACTATGGTTTCTCCTCCAAAGTTATGAAGATACTTTGTAATTCGTTTACAAAAGAGATGCTAGAAACACCCACATTCTCAATGCATCCTCCCATCTAATAGAAGAATACATGAACAATTGAGATAAATTAAAAAAAATAAATCATTGAGATATATAAAAACCTGGTTGGTTGTATATAAGGACACTTCATGCCAGTACATCTAAAGAGAACATATGTATGTCATGTAATCTTTGTAAAACGAAAAATAAAACATGTAGAAGGGAAAATTTACATAAACTTATCAAACACTTTAACAAACGTATTTAAGTAGGAATTATTGTTTATGACAAGAAACCTAACCATGCGGTCACCAAAAGTAACATCTTCACTATTCATCACCAAAATATTTTATTTAAACTTATTCTTATTGGTTTTTGTCATAGGAGAAGGCATTTTGTAAATGGGGTGGTAGTTGTTGACATCTCAAATCCAACACTCTTCCAAGTAATTAAAAAAATAAAAGTGTAAACTATTACAAGCAAAACAACATTGGTTTCTCAAACTTATTTTCCACAAATGAACTTCACTTATAAAGAGAACCTCATAGATATGTAGAACTTACATAAAAAAATGTCATTTTTCAACTGGATTTTTTATATGATTTCATTGCTTTTGTTATTGGACTTCATATACCAAAAGTAATATATGTTGGACTTGGCTACCCGCCAAAAGCCAATAACATTTTTAGTATGTGGAAACAAGTTTGGAACAAAGACTTTAACCACTTCCAAGCTTCTAATGTCACTACTCAATAGCTAGATAGCCATGTTATACTAATAAATCCATTGTACACAAAGGTTAAAGTTATAACATTTATTATTTCAAGCATATCGATCTCCTGTTTATGTATGACCACAAGATAATTTTGATTTAAACAATACTTAACAAAAATCTGATTTTCACTATTAAAACATCAAACAACGATTCTTCGAAATACGATATTTTGATGTTTCAGAATGACATATACGGTATTTCGTTTATTAGACCCTAAATTAAAATCATTAAAGTTCCCCAAAATCAAAGCGTGATTCTTCATTCACAATCTCTCGGAAAGTAAAAATCGAAAAGTATTTGGATATGTGTTTTAAAAATTAAAGCGATAATACACAAGGTCAATAGGCAATTTCTTAACTATCCTTAAAGCATCATGAAAAGTTTTTTTACAACTAATTAGTATTTGATTGAATTTCATATACTTCCACCGTTTGAAATTGCAATAATTAAATAAACTATGTAAGCTTTTCAACAATTCTGATAATATGAGTAACTAACACACAAATTCCCAAAAATGATGTTTTTGAAAGAAAACAAAAACATCATTTCAAATCTTTCAAATTAGGTCTAAATAGATAACTTCATTTTTTATCCCAAAGCATTTATCAGCATAAATAAATACAACTTCAAAGAAATTACCACATAACAAATGAAAGACTATGATGGTGAGTTACTTCATCCAACCATGGTTCGCTTTCTGCCTCGTAGTCTCACTGTCACAAGTTAACAAGCAACAATATTATATCATGTAAACAATTAATATATGACATTATTACTTTTATTAACACAATGATTCTACTTTTGATCCCTTTTTAGCCAAGTTTTTTTATTATATATAAATTACACACTTTTGATCCATTAGCAATAAAAAATTACCCAAGTTGATCAGTTTTCACATAAAAGAATGTATAGGAGAATACATTAGGTAAGATTATAGTACCTTGACCAAGTTTGTTAAATGTAGATGACCATTGCTTTGTAGACTTCCTATATGCTGAAAGTATCTTATCCATCTGTTCAAGAATGCCAAACCATGGTTATGTTTCTTTTTGACTTAATGAGTTAAGCACTTACTCTGTAAACCCATACATGATTGTTTCTTTTGTACTCAATCTGGACATAATGACTTACTGGGTTAAGCCAAAGAAGCATAGCTTAATGTAGTTACACACTTACCCTTTACCTATTTTATTTTTCCTCCCAAAATTGATGAATGTTGTGAAATTTGCTTTTTGGAATGCAAGGGCAAAATGGTCATTTATTCAGTCTAGAAGAAACAGACCCTATGTATAAAGACATTATTACCCATTCATCCACTTTACCCATATAATGGGAAGGGAAAAAAATGTCTAATTCAAATTTTGGATACAAAATTTCCAATTATCTTACCACATTTCCACATGATGAATGCATAGAAAGCAAAGCTCGTTCCAGAACATATAAATCAACACCTTTGTCTTCTGGAAGTGTGGACACAAAGCTCAGACCAAAATCGATTAATACCTGACAAAAGATAAACAAAGTTGATACACAAATAATCTTATAAAATTAAAAAAAAAAAAAAAAAGAAAAAAAAAAAGGGTATGAAATAATACCAGCTGGTTTGTGTCACTACGCCATAACATATTGGATGTGGTTAAGTCCCCATGAATGACTCCACCATCATGTAATTTCCCAATTATATCCCCAATCTGGAAGGCAATGTCATCCATCTTTTCTTCAACAACTCCTTTTAATCCAAATTCAAGGAATATGTCTTTGATGGATGGACCTTCCACATACTCAAAAGTTAGGGTATGTGATACAGGGTCTACCGCATAAAGCACAGGAGTAGAAACTCCAAGCCTTCTAGCTTTTGTCATACACCTAGCCTCCTATAAAATAAATCAATCATTAATATTATACTATAGGAAACAAAAATGAAATCTTTGAGCATTAAAATCAAATATTTGTCAACAAACCGCATTTAAGCGCTTGAGTGTGAGCTTTGAATCTAAAGTTGGATGTCTGTACTTCTTTGAGAATCGTTCCTTAACAATTGACTTCCTTCCTCCAAATGTTGACTCAAAGACTCTCTAAGAAGTATCAATCAAAAAAAAAAATTAACCATATTATTATACATGGGTCCCATTTAAGAATTTCAATTACATAAACAATGTAAAAAAGAATTTATCTCACAGCTTCAGCTCCTTGCTTTATCAGAACCAAAGAGCCACCTCCATTTGTTTCAGTATCCATATCTATAAAGCACTGGTGTTTTCCTTTGGCTTTCTGCAGTCCTAAAGTCAAGAAGATAAACAATACAAACAATTATATATCTAAGAAAATTTCATAGACTCTCAAATTTTATAAAACTGCTTCATTTGTTTCACTAACTCTACTTAAAGACAGTGAGTAATCATTTCAACAGATTTCAGCCTGAAAAATTTATCAAGCAGTTGGTACGCACTGAAAATTTGAAGCAGTTGGTCATTTGCTTCATTTGTTTCACTAACATATTACCCTTATGTTTTGCTAGATAAAATAATTATACAAATACAAACTGTCACATAAAATCTAAATAAAACATACATCATTTAAAATCCAAATACAAATTGTAATACAAAATCCAAATTAAAATAAAAAAACAGCATAATAATTTGCATAGATATTTAACCGTTCACCATTTAAAAATAGTTGATTAGCAATCTAATTAGGCAATGAGAAAAACTCTAAAAAGCTGAATCAGGAATGAATTTAATGCAAAGAAAATGACAAGTCAAA